CTCCAGGCGGAGTTCCATTTAATCAAACGTTAATCAATACTTATAGTCACACGAAAATGAGCTACAGATATGTGATCAATAGGATAAGAAGTGTACGCACATAGGCTCATATAAAAACAGTCAGATTGATAAGTGAATAATTAACAAGCTGAAAACGCAACTCAAGAAGAATGGATAGATTGGCTTGTCCAGAATCTAGAATAAGGCATATGGGCTTAACATGTGGACTGACACAACATAGTATTTAACACACATTTATCAATAACTTACTGTGTGAATACATGTTTATAATGTCATACAATTAAGTATTAATAACTAACAAATATAACTAATTTAGTAAGTTGTGATTACTCTTCAAAACGTGACCACATGTCACAAATGACTGGTAGAAAAGTCAGTTTCATATGACATTCAGATCCGAATTAATTGCTCACCACGTATATTATGTTACCATGTTTATGTTCAACAATTTTTAAAGCCATAACATAAGTGACTTTTTGTTTGTTAATGAACATAACGACAGATATTCGGTCTAACATTTAAACGAGTTGGAAAATAGACATTGCGATCTACAGATTATTATTAATGTTGGGTTTTACTGGATCTTGAATTTTTAAAAAGTATGGACTATGTATGGCGAACTAAATTTAATGTAGTGAAGCTAGAATTCATGAAGAGCAAATGTAAATGATGAAATTAACTTTCTTTGGAGCTAACGACCTACAAACGGAAACTATCAATACTGATTGCAATGACGAATAACTCAACACTAATCTTATACACACTGACAATTAAGATAGCCAGTAATATCTCGTCAATTCATAACCTAGAACACAGATTTCTCTTATAAATTTTAACACGCAAAGTCATTTTTATGTTTAAAAAAAGCCTGTTACATCACGCTAGAAAGGTAATTCATATACAGCAGATCATGTTTTGGCAAAAGTGATATCAGCTACATGCTGTGGACCAAAAGAAATTACACAAGATATACAACAGTATGTCTGGAATAACTTGCTACAGTTACCAGTTTGGTATGCAAAGAAATGAATTTCTCATCAACTTGGTTTAGACCTCTAGTTTTCATATTACTTACAACAATTAACTACTTTACACCAACAAACCAGTGGATTTATACGAAGCCGATTCATATAAATATAAATCCAGTAAAATCCGCTAAATCAAACTGAAACGCGACTGGGCTTATTGGTCTACCATAACAAACCATTTAGGTCGTGTCATTATGATCTGATATATCTAGAAGTAGCGTGCTGAAGTTAAAGAGAAAGTAGTTAGTGCGGAGTTATGATATATCAATTTCAACCACGCTATGAGTAGAGTACCTACTGAAATGCTTGAAGCTGAAGATGTGAACCACTGGACCAAAACTCAGTGTCCTGAGATTAAATTCTTCCCTGAAAGATCAGAAGACGTTAGGGTTCGATTCCTATGTGGGGTAATCGGTGCACAATGCTGAAAATCTCGACGTTACTGCGAAAAAACGTCCCATTACTTCTAACATTTCGATATCAGCCTGTGAAAATGTCTACAAACTTATCTACTCCTAAAGAAACCCTGAGTTGTTATCGGAAGGTATCCCTGTTAAATTATAAGCAGACTGAGCAAAACATATCAGAACTTGTTGTAATTAAACAATGATTTGTATGACTCATTGCAAATGAGAAGACAGAGACGAAAAATAAATATCATGCACCAAAAATAAATCAGACATTACATCCGAATGAATTGGATTTCATGCATTTTATTTACACTGATCAATAGTCGAATTTGATTACGTTGAACAGAGCAGCACCCGATATTTGGTATATCAATAACTTAGAGTACAAATATGGTGTACAACATCGTAAGACTAAACTACTGCAACCGACGAATCTAAATTTGCCACTTTTTAACACCTAGATACAATGCCGACAGTGAGTTTATAGAAACAAGGGTCTACTTTTCTTACCTGTCTATTACAAAGTTACTTTGTACGAGCATCCGTAGCACTCATGTATTTCCAAAATATAGTCTTAATCAACAACTCCCGCGTGCAGGGCCTTCATGATTTAAGTTGGAAAAAGGGTTTACCGGATTATGTACAGCAAAATCTACCGTATAGACTGCAATCTAAGCTTCCTCATAATCCTGCGAAGCCAACGTATTTCAAAGTCATCAGGCAGTCGTAGGCTATTAGCAGGAAACCTGAGAACTAGGTTTTAGTAGTTGTAGGAACTAACAGACATAACGTATCTATATTTCCAGGGAAACAATTGCTACGAAGATATAACCATTAAGCTATTTGGCTTGTGACCGACCTCACGTAAGATTAGGATATATACGACGACTGACCGCTGAGTAATATTAATATTGTTTACCTACCAAGCTGCAAAGTCATCGAGAGAACTTCACGAACACTGAAAACAAATAACACTGGTTACTGCTCCATGACCGATCAATGTATTAATGTTTGGAATCCTTTTGTACATATAAAACTCGACTCAGGAAACATGGATTGGAACGGACACTTCACAGGAAACTACAATGCCATGAATGACTACATACCTTCTAAATTTCTGTGATACTTTAAAATTAAGAGTATGTTTTTGCTCATAATTACAACTGGAAAGTATCCAGGTTTTGCAATGGATTTAGGATGACTATTTGCTTTTTGCCTTACCAGAGGGAACAGATTATCGGCTGGTTTCGGGGTAGCTTGTTTAAAGTGCATATGCTCCAAAGTGCTGCTAGATCCAACTTTCACAGCATGACGTGCGGAAGTCCTGTTCAGTGGGATAGACAACAAGAACCGGGAATAGTTACTGGTATATGAACTAGGAAAATGCACATGTGTACTTCTTGCGAAGTTTTGGACTGTTAGATGCAAGTAATATTAACTAGTAACACTAGTTTACCAACAGATAACCTGATTTCGGGTAGGTAGTTTCCGTGAATAAAGTTCAAAGTATTGGTAACTTATGACTGCAAACCTTATGTGATACGAACCAAATTCGTTTTAATTTTGAGAAATATCATTTTTTACATAACCATCTCCTACAAACTTATATCCTTTCTAAGTAAGGAAACATTGATTATGTTGATTCCTTTTCGAATGTGAAGGATGATGGTGGCTTAAACCAACACAAATTTGCATGCGCTCAGACGTTCTTCACTATTTCTTTTTCGTGGCTATCTCTAAAACACGAAGAGAACCAAGGACGTTGTTGAAAATAAATTACTTTCTTAAATTTTTTTCAGTTCACATTAGGTGGTACTCATGGTGCAGGCCATCAAATATTATTTGTGTTCTAAAGTTCTAGGTCCTCAACCGGGAGAAACCGATTACCTCAAGAGCGAAGTACAGCTACACACAAATCAAATGTAACATTTTGGATGAGGAAAACTAACTAAAACTCCATAAAATCAAAGAGTAAAGTCTCATTTAGGAGCTATCGGTTTTCCCTCTGATTTCTCTATCCACTGGTCTGAAATAAGTCTCCTTAGATCCACTTACTAAGCACTTAGGTTTTAATAGTTTGATAGCATCACTACGCTTTGAATAGATGTCTCGATCCCTAAAACGACCATATTAGAGAAATTACTGTGGAATCACCGAGCTGGAGTAAATCGTCAAGAATTCTGAGCTGCATCTAACTAAACACAATACGAAGACCATTTAATGTAAGTGAATACTCATTTGCTCTAGTGAGAAAATCATATTCAAGAATGAAATACCTCTAGCATCCCATAGTTTTCAGTTATATAACTATATACATCTCTAAACTAGGCATACTCTCAGAAACATTAGATCACATCCGAGAGAAACGTCTAATGCTATTAATGTGCTAATTTCCTTGAGTTACCAGAGCACTTTTAATAGCTATCAGGACCTACTTAATTCCGTCAATTTCTTACGTTTAATTTCACCTGTTGAACTAAATATGGCGACTACAAGACAAACCTACCTGTAAACTACAGTAATGGATATTATTCAGCTTCATCGATAGATAGGGAACCTGTTAACATATCTCTAACACTTTCTGAAGCTATGAAATTCTTTAGAAGCTCTGATCTGTGTATAGATAAAGCGCTAAGATTGTGCACATCTGCAGTGAGCCGTTGCCCGGGTCACTACAGTGGATTACGTCCACCTTAGATTTTAATCAGGTTAGGAGTGTATTTGACCCGAAGTCGTTTGAATCTACTACAAATACTTGATTGAGGTATGATCAAACGAAAATCTGCACAGAAATTATAAGCCTTCCGTAACAGCGATCATGTACAAAAAAGGTTACTCCGGATTCCATAATTTGACGTGGGAATCGGAGCTTAGTAACTTATTTACCGAAAATTATCCTAAGTGTAGGAGGTAAATTTTCATAACACACGAACTAATTCAGGTCAATTTGTGTATATCCCAGTGTTTTTCGAGCATCTACAAAATTATTCTGGTTTAGGACACGTGGTTTCTTTTGTGTGGGTTTTATAAGCATAGAGTACTACATACTAATTATACATTTATAACGACGTTGTACTACTTAGAATCGAAGGATCCTGTTTATTGATGTGGCTGCGTAAGTTCCTTAAGGTCCACTGTTGTAAACAGTAAGAAAGTATCGTGCATTAGCTTACTCAGTACAATGTTAGAGACGATAACGAATGAATGAAGCTACACGACTAGTTGCACAAAGAAACATTTGCAAAAAGATTAAGATGAAAGTGAATGGACTACCAGAGTCACACCATAGTGCCTTGTGACGTCATGTTCAGTTCGCAAGTAGCTTAACAACCGTTAGACCTATAATCACCACATGACAATTGAAAACAAAGTCACTCATGCGTCAAAGTGAATATAGATACATACGTACCTAGTAATATAAACATCTATAGAAAGTAGTGTATATACATAAGCATTTTGCAGCAGTGATTCAGTGACATATTATTTAACGATTTCCAACAAAGAAGAACTTAACACGCAGTTTGTTTGCTAAAGTTAACAGTTATGCATGCATAGGGACTTGACCAGATTCTGTCTTATTAGCAGCAGATGATGTTGGTTGTTGTATATCTGTGCGTGATCGTCGGAACAGAATGATATGTGGTTCTGGTTCATGGATCATATAATGCACCCAACCAGCTGACTGTTGAATTCCCAACTTTCGCCACTCCATTTCGGACATAAGGTGATTTTTAGGTACCTGTTTCGCCAAATCTTTCGGTAGGTGGACGTGTCTATAATTTTAAATAGGCAATTGTTTGTTCATTTTAGGCTTACCTGTATTCATAGATGTCATCGTAGTATTTTTCGGAGTAATATATATTCCGACTCATCTTACCAATTTGAAAAAGCGCGACAACCCTCCAACTTTCAATCTCCAATCTGCAGCCGATAATTCCACTTAAAAAGTGACCTGTAGAATATGACCTAAACGTTTCAGTGTCAAGTTTTTGCCATAGAGTAAGCAGACTTTGAGAATGCAGAATTTGTCTTTAAAACTTACGAGTCTCGCATGAGTAAGGCATTCTTCCGGTAATGACAAGTATTTTTTGAAGGGAGGATTTCTAAAGTATAAGTATTGCCATTCGTCTATGTTCAATGAGGGTTCAGCAGCTAGCATATCCGACCATTTTTTCATCCACCTTTTGTCCCCTGACATCATATGTAAGTATAATTTTCCTTATGAAATTCATTTTAAACACGTAAATGCATCAATGTATGTCTTCTGTGAACATACTATCGAAGAACGTCCGGAACTGTTGAATAAAAATTGTGCTCTGATATGCAGCACTCACTTTGAAATGAACAGAAAGACGGTAGATATTGCACATATATATAATAATGAGAGGCAGAAACGCTACAAACTGGCAGACAGCATGCCGTGAGTCAGTGTAGATTATCAATATAATCGTTACCGCACCAACTATGTATATCACCTCCAGAAAATATAATCATTTCTCTGTTTACTTGGTTGATGGGTTTTACATATAACAGCATAATTCCTATTTAAAAATTATTAGAGTTCCGAATCTTGCTATATTTATACTTTTGTAATCAGTGTCCGGCTTTTGTAATCAGGACACATTCACACGAGGCTTAAATGATACTTTTGATTGACATCATGAGCCGATTGATGTTAGACTACCATTAGAAACCTGAAATCACTGGACGGTCGTTTCGTCCTATCGTGGAAGTCCTCAGTAGTGCGCATCCAGTTGCACGATTTCGCCGAATGGTTGAGGTTAGACATTAACACCGTTGAATGCCGACTCAGTGGTCTAGAGGATAGGTGTTAGCGCGCGAGACTGAAGGACCTGGGTTCAAATATCACGAGCGAGATCCCGGATGCGAACTGCTGAGGAGTTCCACTGTAGGACGAAACGGCCGTCCAGTGCTTCCAGGCTTCCGATGGTGGTCTAAAATCAATCGGTTCAAGATCTCAATCAATAACTTAATATTCTGCACAACCCTTAAGTGATAAGTGATGTTTCACTTGCTTGAATCCCTAGGTTGACAATGATTACTGCTCAGTAAACCTTTAGTGGAAGTCTTATTGGAAAAATATTCGAAACTATGTTTAGTTCACTGATTTGCTTTGGTCCGTGTACTTATCCATTAGTGATTGGGGTAATCATTCTTCGTTCACAGGTAAGTCCTAATAACCTATAATTTAGATAGTCGATAGGCTTTGTTATATAGAATTAGCTCCTTGAAGTAAAATATCAGCCGATCGTATATGTGGCTTTTGTGTGGCTAAATTGGTACACTACAATATTGGTGTTTGATGAAGGCCATGGTGCATATGATTTCAGTAGAGTGAGCCGTTTGACGTTCATCTGGTTGTTGTTTGCTTAAACCGGCGAGGTTAAAACCAAACAAGCTGCACCCTAACTAGCCCTTGGGATTTTTAAACTCCCAACTTATGCGATAGAAAATCCAGAGATGCACGGGATGCTACATAACATTTACTATGTTTACGAAAGTGGCGAAAATGGTAATCCCTATGTCATCGTGATTGGCTGCTTGACTGTTTGGAAATTGCCAACGGAAGTCTATACACTTGCTTAAGCTCAAACAAATGGCTCTTTCGAAAATTAAATTTTCTTCGTTGAATCCGCTTAATTTTTATCCAGTGACGCAATGTCTTACTTTGACGTAAATTGAGTTCGTTTCTAGTCATTTGTATAATAGCTTTGCACGCTATACAAATTGTTGTATTAAACTTGACGTACTTACACTGTAAAAAGAAATTAGGATGTCATGGATATTCATAAATTTATAACTCTACCGCCCGTTAAACACCTTAACGAGAACCCAAGTTAAACCAGAATTTAGGAAATAAGTGATTCAAAAATGATTGGTTTGTCGAAAATATTGAATCCAAGATGTTTTGGAAGATGGGCATCACACCGTACCCAAACGTGATCTGGTGGGCACACTTCGCCGAGCACCATCAGCTAAGGTGTGTGCTGTAAAAATAATGAAGTCGGCATCAATGTTGGAGAATACAGACCAAATCGCAACGCTACGGATCATTGTGGAATAATCAATTGAATGGTATTCATCACTGCATCAACTTCATTGAATACGAGAAAGCACTCGATATTGCGGACAAGACAACACTATGGATGCCTCGACACTACTGCGTGCCTGAGAAGATAGTCAGTACTATACAGAATCCCTATGATGGATTAAACTGCGAAATCGTCTATGGAGGACAGCTGACAGATTCGTTCGAAGTAACGACCGGAGTCAGGCAAGGCTACTTACTCTCACCTTTCCTCTTTCTCCTGGTGATCGACTGGATCATAAAGACGTCAATATCTGAGGGGAAGCATAAGGTACAGTGGACAGCTAGGATGCAGCTGGACGACCTAGACCTCGCAGACGATCTGACTCTTTTATCGCGCACGCAACAACAAATACCGGAGAAGACGACTAGTGTGAAAACAGCATCAGCATCAGTAGGTCTCAACATACACAAAAGGAAACGCAAGATTCTCCGAAACGATACAGCTTGCACCAATCGGATAACACTTGACGGGGAAAAGTTGGAAGATGTAAATCTTTATATATCTGGGCAGCACCATTGATGAACACTGTGGGTCTGATGCAGATGTGAGGGCGAGAATTGGCAAAGCAAGACCAGCATATTTACAACTGAAGAACATCTGGAATTCCAAACAACTGTCGATCAACACCAAATTCAGAATTCTTAATACAAATGTCTAGACAGTTTTATTGTAATGGAGCGGAAACCTGGAAAACTATGAAAGCCAACCTACAGAAGATACAGGTGTTTATTAGCAGTTGTGTACGAAAAAAACTTCGGATCCGTTGTCCAGACACTATCAGTAACAACCTACTGTAGGAGAGAACAAAACAGATTCAAGCGGAGGAAGAAATCAGAAAGAAGCGCTGGAAGTGGATAGGACCCAACTACTGCACAAGGCAAGCACTCACTTGCAATCCTCAAGGTCAAGGGTGACGAGGAAGAACAAAAACACAATATGCCGAGAAATGGAGACAGACATGAGAAGAATGAGCAACAGTTGGATAGAACTAGTAGGGAAGGCTTATGACAGGGTGGGAGGGAGAATGCTAGTTGCCGGCCTATGCTCAATTGTGGGTAAAAGGCGTAAGGTGAGCCTCGAGAATCTTCGGACGTTGTAAGGCCGATGTCCTATCTGACTTCTAGAGTAACCAGATGAGGAAGTTACACAAACAGATGAATAAGTGTTTCCGTTTTACTAAGCTCCATTTGCGCGTGTCAATAAGCAACAATAAGCTCCATACTCATGACTGACATAGAAACATCTGCAGCAACTAAAATCTAATGAGTGGATTTACGTAAACCCACGTTAAAATAAACATAGTTCTTACCATATATTGCAATTGGTTTCCCATTTTCTGCCTGTAAGTTGAAAACTGATTTGTACAGTCGGCCTTTTGAAATTTCTGGAAGAAAGCTAATCTCTGCGCCAGTGTCGACCACGTAGCGAACTTTAATCATCACGTCAGTGATGTATAACAGACGGATATTTTCTCGGGCTACGATCGTCGTTGACGCGTACCAACTAGGAAGTTTTATGAAAGAATTTTCGTGTCAGTTGTTTTGGAACACGTAGAAATGCAGTTATAATCGTACCAGCACCAATCAGGTTTATTTACCTCAAGATCTAGTTTTCGTGAAGAAATGCTTCGAGGAATTTGGAGGCGTCTACGGCCACAATGAATAATAAGCTAACGTTTCAGAGTACCTCAGAGTTCTGTGACGTCACTTCGTGAAGTTTGAGGCTTCTGTTTGACTGAATAGACCTCGGTGTTTAGAGTTGTGTAGTCTCCAAAATCCGGTCGGCAGATGCAGCCACTTCGTTCATAGAGTTGTTTCGAAGCATTATCTTCACTTATCGGGGAAGCTCAGACAAGAATAGATATCTAAAAGGCCTCTCATCAAAGGTTCGTTGACAAGTGACCTCGCGCTCACGTAAAAACAATTCTGTTGCTGAGCCGCAGAAGAGCTGATCCAACTTTGTCAGTCAGTTAGGGCTCCACGTTCAAGGACAGCTTTTTTAAAAGTTTCTTAAGGTTCAGATACATAACTAATGGATATACCAAGTGTGGCGTAACTAATGAAATTGTGAGAGGAACTGTGCACGCGTGTCTGTCACGCCATGCTCGTGGAAATCAGCTACTGTGTAGCAGAACCAAGCCTCGATATTATCAGACCAAAATGACATTAACTGGAATGAGAGAGGCAAAAGGGTTCTAATTTTGACTTATTTAGGAGTTTGTTCCAACATGATATATATAAAGTACACTAACGAAAAAATATCCGAAAACATGAATACAGTATATGAAAATAAAAATTTGAAAATAGAAGATAGTGTTTCAGAGAGGAACGGATCTATAGTTTGTGAATTGGTGTGCCAGCTCAAGTCGGTCTCACCACTGAAGAGGTCACAAGTATTTGGAGTTTGACAACGCCTTCACTAGTAACACATTTATAATTGATGTATGCTAACCCAGTCAAGTCAGAAGTTTGTAGTTATATTTGAAAGGTATCTCGGAAAGCGTTTGATCTAAGCTGACTAACGCCCGTAGGAGATGCATAGCACAGCCTGCACACTCGTGATCTGGTTTGAATACGGGACCAAGCGCCTTCAGCTAGGTTTGTCCAGTAGGTTTAATGAGGTCGGCATTAAATGTCGGAGACTTACAGAACTATTCATTTCGGGGATTTGTTTACTGACACTCACCGAATACGAGGTTTTTCAGGCGTCCTGTCAGCTATTTCTGTCTGACAAAGAGAGAGAATTGCTTGTAGTGTTTG